AAAAGTAGGTAAAAGATGTGCATCGTCAGGAATGAATAGGAATGCCAAGAAATTTGTTGGACCGAGGTGTTGGACAAGACGGATTGGCACTACAGATGGTTTCCGGCGCCACTTTTGGTCGATTCCCACCGTCAAAGATGTGGTCGAACGGCCGGGCTACGCAGTACAGTCGTGTCATGATAAACCTTTACGCCGAACACTTAGCAGGAGGATTTCTGGGGCTGCAGGTCAATATGTGCGGTCCGGACAAAATGCACCAGGGTAGCGCAGTACCTGTCTGGAGCGATCCAGCAATTGAAGCACACAAAGGCTACTTTCCAGGCTCCTAGGATAGAATGGATACATCGTCAGCTGCGAGACTGAACACACTCAACTCGAATAGAAACTGTGGAAAATCATATGTAGCCTCCCCATTATGTCTGGCACCAAAACAATAATTTATAGTGACGCTGAAACATAAGCAACGCCTTAGAGTGTATTTCAAGTGCGATGGTAACAACACCTTAGGATAAACTGTTCCATGCAATTACAACTGCCAGTCAAAGAACTGTTCACACTATCTGGAAGTGCGTTCAACCGTCTGAACAGTTTTCTTAAAGTTATACAGTCAAGCGACTTTCACGGTATGCAAATCTCGCGATACCCATGACCACTGACATGAATATAGAACGAACACCCCGTATGACAGCAGGCTGCTCGAGACAACTCAGGATCACGCCGACAGAGCAAGTGAGCCCCGAGCCCGTACGGACCAATCGAACGAACACCCCGATTGGTTGAAGCATTAGCCAATCAGAATGAAGCTTTCTGCTCGATGTTTTCAGTTTGGATTCTGGAACGTTTTGTGGGAAAGCTACCAGTAGGGCCGTAGCAGTTTTCTTCCTCCATTCTTCATAATAGGGTGTGCCAAGCGACGGTTCAATTTGATATGCTTGGCGGGGATCACCAAGCTATTTGTTGCCCTACGCTAGATGTTCTATGGGATAATTTCAGCGCCATCCATCCACGGGTGTGAATTCAGTCAAAGGATTTACGTAAAGGTGATGTTGAACAAGATGAGTTGACCAAAGCAAACCCTCTAGGTGGCCGATCGTTTCGAGTATTGTTGACCTAACTGACACTCACTCGCTGATCACCAGAAGCAAGCCTCAGTTAATTTCGTGGAAAGTACGAGGTTGCATTAGTTGATAATTTACCAGTGATCCATTCCGATCACTCGTTTCACAGATATGCTGCTGATGGCTTTTTGCCGAAGCGAGGGAACTTTCAAGGTCAACGGGAACTGCCTGCTTGTGCGAGACTAAACCTTTAAGTTTAATTGGATTAAGGTTAATTGCGTTCTTCAATTGGGAGATAATCTTCACGGAATTCGTGTTTTAAATTGTTACCGGTTAATACTCGAATAGCTTTTGGATCCGTTACGGTCTTCTGGTGTAACAAATCAGGTGTGATTGTTCATCAAATTTCAGGACAATACGGTTTTTCGGGAAGATCACTTGTGCGGTGTTGATGTTAATATAATCTCTGAGTATGATGACACTTCTCATTTATTTGCCGCTGGTCTCAAAAACTACACCGCTTTAAGATAAATGCATGAATTACAACCATCTTTGAGAACAATCTTCTCCACTGAAAACCGTTATGTGACCGAGCCTGATTACGTCGTAAGGCACAAGAAAATTTTTGGAAAATTAGGTCAGTCGTTGATTATTATGATAATAATTGTACGCTTTCTCGCTTAGCCTGGCTAGATATAGTAATTGTCAGGCACGCTTCAATGACTCTCGCTGATCAAGGCCACAACAATGGGTGACGGCCTAATGTGAAGGCAAACAATGACTTCAGCCTCGCATTCGTGAGGGGTTTTGCCCCGTTTTTTCACTGATTCACGGATTGATACACAGACTGTAGGCTTTTCCTAAAGTGATCGGGTCGAGTTTGACCTCATCGTTCAGCGGCATGTGTTCGCCTGAAAGGATACTTATAATGCCTACTAAGATCCTACGTATGCGTCCCTCTGGTTGTGAGGCAATTACTTCGCATGGTAGTCTAATCCAAAGCTCTGCCACTGCTTCCATCGTTTAAGCGCATACACTATCGTTCTGATATGCCCGCGCCCGAAAACTGTAGAACCATCATTATCGAAGCGTGTTTCCATTCATTTAATGTACTTGTACAGCCTAACATGAAGTCACGCCATGTCGTTTTCCATATAACGCTTTCACCAATCAAAAAAATCTATGTTCGATTTCATATTGTTTACAGCTTCGGCAGTGCTCAAACGTCTGCTTTTATACAAACGACCTTGCTTCTTGCCAAGTTATTTCTATCTTGATACTGAGATGCCAGGATTCAGCGCTGATCCGCATTGCTGGAAGTGGCAAATTTAAAGCCAAACGGTTGTGTATACAAGTCAGTTGTGAGATCGGGTGTTATATAATTTATATTCAGGATCAAATAGCCAAATGCATCTTGAAAGATGGACCCCCCGATGTAGCTTCATTGAAGATCTGGTATGTGGGTGAGTGCCTGGAGCTAAGGCTGCTTATCTAAAGTATTAAATCCCAACTCTACTCCACTTCTACTTCGGATACTGATACCCTGTAGCTTAATGGAAAATATAGATTTATATTTCTCATTATAAGGTAAATCAACTCCATATTGGGATGAAGTGTCACTTTCACAGAACAAGTTCCCCGTTACTGACATTATCCGCCCCGTAGCTTATGTTTGTTAACCGATTGCTCGGCAGTCTATAGTATGTGGTTACAGCCAACCAAAGCTTCCATATCTCAGATGTACCTACAACGTCAAAAACCGCTCGTTAATTCGGGCTACCCTGTGACTCTCTTATATGTCTGCCATGTTTGTGCTTAATCTAACTCATGTTTTATGCTGAATAGTCGCTATCCGTTTTTACTTCCGCAATAGGATTAACTATCCAAATTTTACGCGGCTAAGAAAGTCGTCCCTAAAAGATCTAGTTCTCTCCTACTATGACGATGACGATGATGGTCATTTTGGGAGCTGTAAACAAATATCCTCCAACCCACAACCAGATAATATACCTCACCACAATGCCAGCATCACCATCTTTGTCCATCATGGCCACCCAACATTCATCCCATAAATGCGTCGTTGTTCCGAGACTCCCTGTTTTCCCTAGGCTGTAGTTGCGCCATGCTGAGCTGACCTCGCCGTCCAGTCATGCGGAATGACCATGTACATCACCTTTTTCTCTGACCCCATGTCCATGCATGTTTAAACTCCCAAAACGTCTGAACCAACCCAAATTCCAGGATTATTCGTTGCCTGTTTAAAGGCGATAAGTAATATTGCACCATCATGTATATCCATTCCCGACATGTTATTGTTCATTGTAGCTTCTTTGCAGCTTTCTCATCCACGTCCTCAATACATGATGGTCCTAGATTCCCAAATGACTGCTCAATGACATTCCGACCACACAAGCTTGCTATGACGGTGCGCATGCTTCATTTGGGAATCTCACACCACTGTCTCCCCTACCCAGTCTTCTGACGACTTACTCCGCTGGCTATAATCCCAGTGACGCACCATTAAGCGAATGCATGCGCTATATATTTACCTAAGGCAACGCTCATCCCCACCAACCACAAACTGCTGCTTGCTATTATACCCACGTGAATGTCAACCATCTTTTTTTAATCAGGGCAGTATCGCCCCGCTGCAGCAGTAGGAATTCAAAAACATCCTTAGCTGCGCTGTAAACTAATGCTTCAGTAATCCTTTTTCACGTTTCGGGTACAGAATCCAGGTACTGTTTTGTAATTTCCTCGTCAAAATAGTATCATTGAACCATGTTGCGCCGCAGATGAACCCGAAACTGTAACTGATCCATAATTTGCCACGACTCCTTCTCTAATATCAACTACCTTCACAACCTGAACTGGCTAAGTCATGTACGCGGCTATCCATTTACCCAAGTACGACGTCTCCATGGTGATACAGCGGCAGTCCTGCCCAGTATGTTTGCTGGTCCGTAGTTCACCGTCTTTTCTAGTTCCTGAATTACTGTATACCGCGTGTCCATAAGATCGATCGGAGCAGCTCCACTTATGCCAAGACTCTAAAGTTCTGCTGCTTAGATAGGACACATATTCCTATATAGGTCGCCCAATTCTTCCTTTTTGGTTTACCACGAATAAAGACCAGGCAATTACTGCTCACGCATCTTCCGAAATCAAAGTCCAAAACTGTACAAAAAACCAGGAAACCGAATACTTATCCATTTTTTCCACCATCCTCATGAAAGAGTCTTGATTAAATCAGCGCAAGAGTTGAAAACATTATTTCTTTGCGTAATGTACATCTTGGGTACGCTTAAAAGTTATCAGCAAAACTGCAACTGTCTTACGATATTTTGAGTCTCATAATAAACACCATCAAGTGTTCAAACTGGGTCAATTTTTTCGCTTCATTTGTGGTCTCAGAAATTTCGGGAGCATGCCCGAGGGTCAGCTACTCCCTAAGTTATTTTGCGTTCTGATAATGCCCGTTCATCTTTGATGGACCACAGCATATTTTGTTGTACAATGGGGTTTATGATAAACCGTGAAGAACCTGCTAGACGAAAAAAAACTGTGGGAATTACCGTCCGTAGAAATAGTCCACTGCCTCCCCATATTTCGAGGTCATCAGCAATAAAGGAAAGCTGTGAGTGATCTACAAGCTGTTTATTTGAATATACGTTTGATAGCTATATTCATACAACATGACGAAAATTATCTTGGATATACTCCTTCAAAATGGCAAAGGCGTTCTGGTGGAGGTTCAAAGGAGATCTGGTGCTCTTCGCTGAACTCATAAACTGAATGAAGTCAATTAGTGGAGGCCCTTCCATTCAATATTTTCAAGCTGTCAAGATCGAGTAATGTATCAAAACTTCCAGATAGAAGGTCAAAGATTCTATAGCTAAAGGACACAACACGATTTCCTGTAAACTCATGTGCTGCGACAAGTGCTTCTTTTCGAACTTGTAAGGCTGAAAGTACAAGGACGCAAACCAATTTGTACAGATCACGCCTGATAGCGTGCAGTCCACAGTTTGAGAGCAAATATAATTGTTATTCTTTTTACTTTTAAAAGCCTATCCGGAGTTTTAAACACCTGGAACCAGTCCATTCAATCATATTTCATAGCATTCGAAAGGATGGTTTGGAAGTAAGCGCGTGTAGATATGTACAAGTATATCAGAAAATAAGCATCAGAAATTAGGTAACAGAATCAGTTGCATACAGTTACCAAAAGCCCCTCCAACATAATTTAAAACCAAACATTTACGGAAAAA